CCCTGGTGGAGCATTCTGTTGCGATGCAGCTGTGTCCACAGAGCGCCTCCTCCCGTGGTCCTCCTAAGCACCCATCCAAAGCCTGTAGGTTCTCGTCTGCTATGGCGGCGCGTTCCTATAGAGTGGCGGGACAGGCGGCCTCCGCCCTGCATGCGATGAGCACTTTGCAGGTTTTCCAAGCCAAACTGCTCAGAGATATGCACGAGGGGGGACTGACCAAACGGCCTTTAATGAACTGCAAGCCTCCACCGACCTTGCCCTCCGGGCGACGAAGGTGGCCGCTCGCTCCGTCGGTCAGGTGATGGCCACTAGTGTGGTCCAGGAGCACCATCTCTGGCTTAACCTGGCAGACACACGGGATGCTGAGCGGACTCGTCTGCTCAACGCCCCGCTCTCCCAGGTTGGCCTTTTCGGCAGTGCAGTCGAGGACTTTGCCCAGCAGTTCTCGACTGCCCAGAAGCAGACGGAGGCGATCAAACATTCTGCCCCGACGGCCAGCTGCTGCCTCCACCCAGCCGTCGGTACAGACGCCTCCTCCTGCTCGCTGCCGAGGACGCCCCCCTGCAGCTCCCCTCCCTCCCTCCCAGCAGCAGCCTTCATCTGGGTCGCGGCGTGGAGGAGGCCGCAGGCAGGCGTCACAGCCCCCTCAGGCCGCACGCCCCGCTAAACGCCAGGCTAAGCGACGTTCCTGAGACGGGCTGCTCAGTGATGAAGTCGAGTGTTTCCCAGAAGGTGGTAGCAGGCCCTCTCCTTTCCCCGGTGGAGGGCCGGGGAAGAATCTTTTGTTCTCAGCTCCCCGCTGCTCACCCACGGGTGGGCAGTACCCTGAGTTGGTCAAAGAAAGACTTGACATCATCACTGAGCACACAGACAGGAATGGGTGCGCTCGACGTCCCAGTGCGTCGACCCACTCATTCCTCTCTGTCTCTGAGGGCGCGGAAGGGAGCGTGTGTCGTCCCTCGACTATGCCACTCCCCTCCCCCTCTATCGCCAGACCCCCGGCAGAACAGACCCCCGTGGAACGTGCATCCTTCCCTGGTCTCTTCTGTCGGGGAGCGGGTTTCGACTGTGCATCCGGGCGGGGTAACTCCTATGCGCATGCCAGTCGACCCGCCTCGCTGCCCCTCCGGGGGACGTCTGTGGTTCGTATGACCCCGCTGGTACACTTCCTGGAAGCTTGGCTAGAGTCCCGCTGGGTCATCAGAACGATCAGATTCGGCTACGCGATTCAGTTCGCACGGTCTCCTCCCCGTTTCAGGGGAGTTCGCTCCACGATGGTCGGTGGCAATGCCCCGGTCATGAGAGCGGAGATTGCGACCCTGCTGGCGAAGGGTGCAATCGAGACGGTCCCTCCAGCCGAGATGAGGTCCGGGTTTTACAGCCCCTACTTCATTGTCCCCAAGAAGACCGGTGGGTTACGACCGATCCTGGATCTGCGCATTTTGAACCGTACTCTCCATCGACTACCGTTCAAAATGATCACAGCCAAACGCATTTTCGAATGCGTTCGGCTTCAGTATTGGTTTGCAGCGATCGAACTGAAGGACACGTACTTTCATGTCTCCATTTTGCCTCGACACAGACCATTTCTTCGGTTTGCTTTCGAGGGCCAGGCATATCAGTACGCGGTTCTCCCATTTGGGTTAGCTCACTCTCGAGAACAGGTTTGCGAACACAGAGACCTGGTGCTGCGGCACCTAGCCCGTCTGGGCCTTCGGGTCAACCGGAAAAAGAGCAAACTTTGCCCCATGCAGAGGATCTCTTTTCTCGGCATGGAGATAGACTCGGTGGCCATGTCCGCGCAGCTCACGAACGAGCGCGCGCACTCACTGCTGACTTGTCTTCGACAGTTCGAGCCTGTTTCAGAGGCTCCTGGGGCATGTGGCATCCGCGGCCACGGCAACGCCGCTCGGTTTGCTTCATATGAGACCGCTTCAGCTGTGTCCCGAGGTGGGCATGGCATCGCGGCTCGCTCCGAGTTCCAGTGACTCCAGCGTGCCGCCGAACCTTCTTCCCGTGGTCGAACCTCAGCTTTTTACGGGCCGGTGTCCCTCTTCAGCGAGTTTCCAGGCATCTCGTTGTCTCCACAGATGCATCTACCACGGGTTGGGGTGCCATGTGCAATGGGCATGCAGCCGCGGGTTCCTGGAGAGGACCCCAGCGCCTCATGCACATCAATTGCCTCGAGCTGCTGGCAGTACGCCTGGCCCTGCACCGCTTTCGAGCACTGCTCAGGGGTCAACACGTACTTGTCCGTTCAGAAAACACCACTGCAGTAGTGTACATCAACCACCAGGGGGGTCTACGCTCACGCCGGTTGTCGCAGCTCGCCCGCCACCTCTTGCTATGGAGTCAGAAGCACCTGAGGTCCCTTCGTGCAGTGTACATTCCAGGAGACCGGAACCTGGCAGCCGACGAGCTGTCACGGGTCCGCCCTATCTCCGGCGAATGGCGACTCCATCCCCAGACGGTCCAGCTGATTTGGGACCAGTTCGGGTGGCACTCTGTGGCACCCTCGTCCCAATCACTGGAGGCTGCAGGCTACGAGGCAGGTTTGAGTTCGCTGCCACCTGCGGTGGCGGCAACCATCACTTCCGCTAGAGCGTCGTCCATGAGACACCTTTACGGGTTGAAGTGGAACCTCTTCGTCAGCTGGTGCTCTTCTCGCGGAGAAGACCCCCGGAGATCAGTGTCGTGCTTTCCTTCCTGCAAGAAGGGTTGGAGCGCAGGCTGTCGCCCTCCACCCTTAAGGTTTACGTCGCGGCCATTGCCGCCTCTCATGAAGCAGTAGAAGGTAAGTCCTTAGGGAAGCACGACCTGGTCATCAGGTTCCTGAGGGGAGTGAGGAGGCTACATCCGCCTCGTCCTCCCCTCGTACCCTCTCAGTAGTTCTAAGTGCTCTGCAGAGGCCTCCCTTTGAGCCTTTGCAATCGGTAGAGTTAAAGTTTCTGTCCATGAAGACGGCACTCCTGGTTGCACTGGCCTCCATCAAGAGGGTGGGGGACCTGCACGCATTCTCCGTTGACGAAGCGTGCCTGGAGTTCGGGCCGGCTTACTCTCACGTGATCCTGAGACCCCGGCCTGGATACGTGCCCAAGGTTCCCACCACTCCCTTCCGGGACCAGGTGGTGAACCTGCAAGCGCTGCCCCTGGAGGAGGCAGACCCAGCCTTGGCACTGCTCTGTCCGGTACGTGCTCTCCGCACCTACGTTGACAGAACGCGGTGTTTCAGGACCTCAGACCAGCTCTTTGTCTGTCATGGGGGGAGCCAGAAGGGAAGGGCTCTCTCAAAGCAACGGCTGTCTCACTGGATAGTGGACGCCATTGCTTTGTCTTACCAGCAGCAAGGCCATCCGTGCCCCCTTGATGTGGCGGCCCATTCCACTCGGAGTGTGGCCTCCTCTTGGGCTCTAGCGCACGGCACCTCGCTAACAGACATTTGCAGAGCTGCAGGCTGGGCGACACCAAACACCACTGCATGAAAATAGGTGTATCCGGACCAGTATACTCCTGTATACACTGCTGAAATTCGGAAGAATCCAGGAGTATAGTGGCCGGATATGTCAAATTCCATGGGTTCGTATATATCCTCATACATCCGGAATGATACCAAATCGGATGTATGTTGTGGACATATACTTCCGTGCTAGAGCCATTTGTTGCCATGGCAAGTAATCCCATTAAAGTTTTTAGCAGGAAAAATTCACACCTTTTTGCAGGAAACATTCACACCTTTTTGCCTTCCAACCAAACTGGATTGGTTGTTCTTTTAAAGCCACTCCCAACACCCAGACCACTATTGGAGGGCAGGACACATTGAAAACCCAGTAAACGGACTTTATTGGTTACTTTTAAACAGAGCCCACCCTAGGCCTTATAGCATAGTGATTTGATTGGTTATATACCAGCTATGCAGATATTGCTCAAATATATACCAAACCTCCCTCCCCCAATTTTATATATTCATTAAAATAAATTTTATATATATATATATATATATATATATATTTAAACACACAAAGAACAATGGGAAAGTCTGAAATTTTTATTAAGACATTATTTTATTTTTATTTTTATAACACATTCCAAATAGCATTATAAACAAGCATTACAGAGGAATGGGGGAACAAAAACTAGAAAAAAAAAGTATGAAGTAATAACATCTCAAAGGAAGGAAAAAAAGATCATGGACATTCCAAAGAAAATTATAAACATACATTAAATAAATTGTTAACTTTTTATTTTCGTTATTTTTTTTTTACCCAATCATTTTAAAGGACAGATGTAAAGGAATAAAGTACACAGTGTATATAAAAAGTAACATATATATATATATAATATATATATATATATATATATATATATATATATATATATAATATACGTAGATATTCCAAGTAAACAATATAAATAAATAGAACATTACAGAGAGTGCATTATAAACATACATTAAAATGCAAACAAGTAAACAAAATGGAGATAAGCAACATGGACAACAAAAAAAGGAACAAATATATGAAATAATACGAGAAAAATAAATAAGAAATTAAAGTGTATATAAAATATTCAAGGTGTACACTGCCGTTTATAAGTTTGGGATCGGTAAGAAGTCTCTTATGCTCGCCAAGGCTGCTTTTTTTTATTTATAAAAAATACAAAAAAAAGTAAGAGTAATATTGTTAAATATTATGACAATTTAAAATAAACGTTTCTATTGGAATACATTATTCCTGTGATCAAAGATGATTTTTTAGCATCATTACTCCAGTCTTCAAAGTCACATGATCCTTCAGAAATCATTCTAATGTGATGATTTGATGCTCAATAAATATTCATTATTATTACCAAAGTTGAAAACAGTTGTAGACTTTTTAGGATTATTTGATCAATAGAAAGTTATATTTCATTTATTTGAAATATGATGTTTTGTAACATTATAAATGTCTTTACTGTCACGTTTGATTAATTTAATGCATATATATATATATATTTTTTTATATGAGTTAACATTTTTCAAACTGCCATGATACGCTGGTGGTGTGACGCATAGTGTGGGTCAGCCTCTAGTCTGTTTTATAGTACCTAGCAGAGAGCAGATTGGTGGAGACCTCACCATTCACACTGGCCTTCCATCAACAATAGCATCATCTTCATCGGACATCAGTTCTATTGTTGCGGTCTTCCAAAGTTCCTTTTCTGTGTTGGTTTGTACAACCCCGGACCTGGTCTCCAGCAACTGAAAAACGTGACAGTAACTTAACCACTAAAACACAGAGAGGAGGATAGTTACATTCTGAAGAGAAAAAAAAAGTGCTTAACCAGTTTCTTAACTTACCAGTCGCTTTCTTTGAAGGTTCTTTGCAATGCTCGTCATAGTTTTTCTTTTCTGGGCCTTTTCAGGCTGAGCCAAAGAATACTTCCTCTGCAAAGTCTCAAAATACATCTTCCAACCTGCTAAATATATCATAAATAAATGTAATGGCAATAAAAATAAGTAAAACAGAGGACAATAAAATGATTACAACATCTTTAAGATTACCTTGTACACATTCAGGGTCAACGTCTGTAAAAGTTGACCTTAATTCTTCGAAGAGGTAAGTGGTCACAGCCAGGTTATGTGATGAATTTATTCTGGGGGGGAAAGTTGCAAGGTATCATTAATGAAATTCACTTTTGGCATTCCAAATCCATAGAGTAGTAGATTAAACTAACATTTAGGCTATAGTATAAGAAACCGTCTTGGTAACACTTTAAAATAAGGTTCCATTAGTTAACATTAGTTAATGCATTAGTTAACATGAATTAACCATGAACAACATATCTGTTCAGCATTAGTTAATATTTGTTAACATTAACTCACACATTTACTAATGCATCAATTAACGTTAATATCATAATTAGTTAACATTAGTTAATGCATTAGTTAACACGAATTAAACATGAACAACATATCTGTTCGGCATTAGTTAATATTTGTTAACATTAACTCACACATTTACTAATGCATCAATTAACGTTAATATCATAATTAGTTAACATTAGTTAATGCATTAGAGAGAATGAAGGGCACTTTATGCCACTTTGAGTGATTTATTGCCCTCATAAAAATAAGCCCCGCCCCCTTTTTACCCCTCCCGCTCACTTCCGGTCTGACCGCGTGACCGTGGGAAATTCCCACGGTCTCCCCTCCTCTTCCCACCCACCAACACCCCTCACCACCACCACCACTTCTGGACTGGTCACGTGATCGTGGGAAAATTTTCCCACGATACGGAACCCCTCACCACCACCAATTCCGCTTCTGGAGAGGTCATGTGATCGTGGGAAAATTATCCCACGAACCACATTTGATGATGTACTTTTACACAATTACACACAGTTTAAAAGTATTAAATAATATTGATTATAATAATAATTATCGATGTTCAAACACTAAAATGTTAAATTGTTTAGACGTAAAAATAAATAATTAATAAACGTTATCAAAATGCATATTAAAACAGCGTGTATTTACATTACATCAAACAATTATTAAAGGATATCAAAACTTAAAAAACATAAAAACTGACTTACGTTCTGTTTTGTTGGTGAAAGAAGAACAAAATTATCCGTTTAAAGATTAATCACCTCCAAAGATTTATCCGGGTTTAAAGATCCATCAGCAAAGATTTATCCAACAGCAACGCTTTATCCAAAAGGTATATATCCAAAACTTTAGAGATATTCCAAAAGTTATCCGGTTCAAAGTTGTGTAAATGTAATCCCGGGAGCCCAGCGAAACACATCCGTACTCTTACAATCCCAAAGTTAGAATGAAGCTTCTGGCAGTCACACACTGACCAGACGTAAGCTCCACCCCTAGAACCCGCCCACAACACGTGATGAAGAGGGGCGTGAAAATAGAAAGTTCCCACGCCTCTTCATACAGGACAGAAGGAGGAGCATCCTTGTAGCTCCTCCCAATTCTACAACCATTAATACCATCCCACGCAGTCATTCTATCTCAAAACACTCAACATGTCTCAAGAGGATATCACCTCACCAATCCCCCCTTCCGGATCTGCTGGTGGATATGCTACAAACGGATACCCCCACCAAAGCATCGACTGGCTAAATAAATTTTGTACGGAACTTGGATTTCACAATCTCGCATTCCTCACGAGCTACGGGACTGGCGTTTGTGCTGCCGCTGCTGCTGCAGCTACTGTTGCAGCCGAGACTCCAGGCACCACATCTAGTGACGAGTTGGACGGGTGCCTTGGTGATACTGGGCACCGGATTATAAAAGCAGTTGTTACCATCATACTGGAATATCTGATTGATAAGCAAATGAAGAAGGATTGCGTTGGATGTACCGTAGACCATCCGTCCCAAACAAGACATTCGTGCCTGTTTGAGCCTACACCATATTATTTTTACAATTGTTTTGACGAAATCCGTCTGAAACTCCTCAAACCTGAGCTGAAAACTATCTTAGCTCAGGCTTTGAATCTGTACGGGGCTACCCCGCACCTGCAAAGAATTCAGGGAGCTGTGGAGACCATTTTGTTTGAGCTCAAAGATGAGATGTACATTGTGGAGCATCTGGCATCTATCAGGCAGAAGCTAGTCGACGAAAGCTGTGAACAGATCGTATACAACGCTGTTGACAACTGGAAACACGTTGATGCTGAAAACCTCGATTCTACCTCAGTTTGAAGATGGGAAACTGCTGCACCTCCTGGATAGCCAAACATTTCTTTAAATCATATGTAAAACGTGTGATATCAAACTTGCTGTACAAGATTATCGATGATAATCATGCAACAGGTGATAACGTTACTATGGTTGATAAACGTCTGACAAATTTATCGAATCAGATGAACGCTGTAAGAGGGATATCAAATCAATGGAATAATATGATAAACATGTCCGTCAAACACATACCTTGCACGACTATCAACAACATTCTTGAACTGATGCCTGAATGCAAGGAATCTCTTAGAATAGGAAATATATTATGTCTTTGTACGTATGTGACTGATGTTTGTAAATTGTCAAGGAATGAATACCCCGATGTTTGTAAAATGATTGATATTTTAGTTGAATACATGTTGGAGAAAAATTTTGAAATGTGTGTAAATTTTATTTTGATGTTCGGATGATCCGTGTAGATATCTGAAATAAAAATCTGTGTGACATCAAGACAACGGGTCATTATTTTATGAAGAGTGACAGAGATAGTAACATGTCAGAGCTAATGAAAAAAGTTTACTATAACCCCTCAAGCCCCGGAGCTTTTGGCGGTAAGGACAGATTAAAACAGGCTGTGTTACAGGAATACGGCGTAAAATTAAATGATAAGGATATTAACGAATGGTTGTCCAAACAGGACGTATATACGTTACACAAGACTGCACCAATAAATTATAAACGGAACCGTGTAGTCGTATACGGTAAGGATCATCAATTCCAGACTGACTTGGTCGATATGACCGCATACTCAAAAGAGAACGATAATATTAAATTTATTCTTACAGTTATCGATGTGTTCAGCAAGTACTCATGGACACGCGCATTGAAAAATAAGACGGGTCCGGAGGTGACTAAAGCTTTCGAATCTATCTTGAAAGAAGGACGCGTACCGATAAAGTTGCAAACAGATAAGGGGACAGAGTTTTTCAATAAACATTTTCAACTACTGATGAAAAAATATGGCATACATCATTTTGCCACGGCAACCGATTTAAAAGCGTGTGTAGTCGAGAGGTTTAATAGAACTCTAAAAGGACGGATGTGGAAGTTTTTAACGGCTGTAAACTCCAAACGTTACTGCGATATACTGCAAGACCTGACAGAGGGTTATAATTGTAGTTATCACAAATCCATCAAAATGCGCCCCCTGGACGTTCATAAAGAAAATGAGACGGTAGTGTTTAATAATTTATACGGTAAAATACGTAAAGAGACACCCGTCTTTAAATACTCTGTAGGGGACGTTGTTAGAGTCTCTAAAGTCCGAGGCATATTTACTAAGGGGTATGAGCAGAATTATACGGAGGAATACTTCACCATAACCGCATGCATTCCACGTGTCCCTCCCGTATACCGGTTACAAGACTTAGATGGTGAAATCATCGATGGATGTTTTTATGAGGAAGAACTACAGAAAATTATTGTTAGTGATGATAAAACATTTAAGATTGAGAAGATTTTGCATAAACAAAAACGTGGAAAAGTCACGTACGTCCTAGTCAAATGGTGGGGTTGGCCCTCCAAATTTAACAGTTGGATAGCTGAAAAAGAGGTGATGGATCTACAGGGTCCGTTAAAGCCTTAGTGAATTCATGACAGACGTCATTAAATAATTACCATGGCCGAGGAAGGATTCTACGTCACGCTTCCGTGCAACGCTTCGATGAACATCTACCCTGATAACAAAATATCTAATTACAGAACTAGATTGGCTAGAAGTATAAATTTAAAAGGTCTGTGGGAGGTGGCATTGGTTGAATTTGAATATCCATTGACGTGGTATACATTTAATGAGGATGACTCTGTTTTTATTATTGTCTGTGATCAACGTCTACTACAGAATAACCACGAACTGAGCGATGTAAGAGGCGATGCGTTTCAGAATGCTCTAAAATTATCAACGAGTCGGAATACGTTAAAATGCGGGTATTTTGAGGATGTACCCATTTTGCTCAGGGATATAAATGTCACTCTCCCCCAGAGGGTACGTCTCGCCTACGACCGTATAAAGAATAAGGTATTTCTCAAAGCGCCCCCAGGGACTTCGTTGACATTTTATGGCAAACTAGCGATCATCCTAGGTTTAAAACCAGGGGTTTCTATAGAAACTCTAAACAGTTCGGATGAACATCAAGACACGCACATCACATATGCGCCATTCCAGGCTGATATAAATGCCGGATTCTACACGCTATATGTATACACGGACATAATCGACTATCAAGCGGTTGGGGATGCCTATGTACCTTTATTAGCAACTGTATATATAGATGGTGAGACTAACAAAACAGTCAGTGTCAGATACGACAAAGCTCATTACGTACGTGTTAATAAGAGCTGCATCTCAGAGATCTCTGTTGATGTAAAAGACGATTTAAACCAGGACGTACGTTTCACCTACGGAAAGGTTGTTACCAAACTACATTTTAGACCTGTGAAACACCAACCGTTTTAAAATGGCTCATCACGCACCGTACAAAGTGGATCCCGAACGCTACATATCATACTACAGGGCTCAGGCAGGTAACGGCCTTCCGGGTTACGCAGGGGGCGGAGTTATGTACGGGTCCGGTTTTGCTTCAGGAATCGGTGGTCTTTTTAAAGGCCTTTTTCGAATGGCAATGCCTTTTTTTAGAAGGGGGATCAGTATAGCAAAACCACATCTAAAGTCAGCCGCTAAAAACATAATGAGTGATGTTGTCACCAGTGCTCTAACAAAGTCTTATAATAATAATGATGAAAATGGACAGGAAGGCCATGGTCTGATGGTGATGTCACGTAAACCACCGGGTACCCGTATGAGAAGAGGGCGTGTCCTTG